GAAATAAGTGATATTACTTTAAATATATTCCAATGGGTTAAATCTATTCTAACAAGTTTAATTTAGTAAAGTATGCAAAAATCTTATAGAGAGGTTAGTCATGTAATGTGTTAGGTTTGAGGATCTCTTACTAAGATTTAAATTGCCACTCTATGTTAAAGCTGAGATAAAATTATTGAAAAACATGCATGATCATCATGGTACCCCGAAAAAAAGTGCTCATCGTTCCCCCAAAAGGCAACTTTATGATCTAAAGAGGCCTGAGTTAACCTAAGGTGATCTGAAAAATCGCGTCCAGTCGTATTTCATAGTAAGAAGGTAACAGAAGGCAGGGAAAACGTCTCTTGCACTGTAGGACTCAGCATTCGGCTCCCCCAAAAAATATCCCGAATAATTTTATGCCCGATCTACCAAAATTGCTCGCTTCAAATTTGTGAATATCTCCCTTCCTCGTCTTTCGCGCCGTGCGACTACGCGCTCTCGATAAAAACATCCGCTGGCACACCCCCCTATCAACGTCTTACAGGTTCGTGGCGGGCGGTGACACCATTGGCGCGTAAATTCAAAATGATCATCGTGCCCCATGTTCATAGTACCCCGGTCTCCCTCCCGCACGGAAAAAAACGACTCCGTCCTGAGGATCAATTATGTTTGGTAGGCTAAATTCGATAGCTGGAATCGAGAATCCGATACTCACGAGCAGGAGTTGGTTGCCACGACCGGACACTTCTACGAAGAGAACAAACTCCAGCATGGCTCTCTTCGTACAAGTGTCCGGTCGTGTCAACCAACTTCTGCTTGTGAGTATCGGATTCTCGATTCCAGCTATCGAATTTAGCCTACCAAACAGAACTGATCCCCACAACCAAGTCTTTTTTTTCCGTGCGTGCCTTCTCGTTTTACTGATCGAGAACGCTTTTGTGCTGCTTCACTGTTTTCAGCTCAAGTTTCCATCACCATGTCGATTGGGATAGATCTTGGTACGACGTATTCCTGCGTGGCTGTTGTCGTCAATGGCAAGGTCGAAATTATTGCAAACGATTTCGGGAAGAGGATTACTCCATCCTGCGTCGCGTTTGTGGATGGCGAGAACGAGCCGCTGGTCGGCGACGCCGCCCTCTCGCAAGCAACGAGGAATGCAACCAACACGATCCAAGGTACGTAATGGCTTTGGCACTGAACTTCAAAATGCTTTCAAAGAATAGGATCGTATAGGGTATTCCAATGGAGCGCGGAGCGGAAGCAAGAAGAACAAAAACGGAAGGTGGAAAGGCGCCGAACTCCTCCCCGCCTGCCCCCCACTTCTCCCCCACTCC